TAGTGCGAGGCAGCAATTTAGGTTATATAAAAGTTTGTGAAAAAATAAAGAAAAGAAAAATTATTTATCGCCTTTTTGTGTTCAGAAAATGTTAGGCTACAGATGTGGCTAACAGGAATCCAAATTGGCTAATGACAATTGATTCTGGCTATTTGTTTGGCTACAGGAGAAAAAATCCTAGCTAGGGCCCTGGCTACATGATATATGTTAAAATTCAAGATAAAAAGTAAATATATATTATATGGTACTAGTTATTATTTATTCGTTTAAAGCGTGTATTGCGAGAATTTTGCTCAGAAAAACTAAATATAGCTGAATATAGTCTCACCTGACAGCAAAAATATCATTGAGTGATTACACCAACATTCAAAACACCAAGATTTTATGCAGTTATAGCATAGAAAAATTGATTTGCCCACATCATACATCGTAACATGATACCAGCAATAAATTTTTGCGTGTCCCGACTCTCAAAATCACAAATGGCGTCTTTGAACAAGTGCACATAATTAAAATAAAAGCGTGTGCAATTCTGTTTGGTAAATATTATTGAGTTTTTATGTCAATAATTCAGAGCACTTTCTGTCATTGTCATTCCCGTGTTACTATCTGACTGGCAATCCACAAGCTTCTCTAATATTACTAACAGACTTTACGTGGTATTAGTACTACACTGCTGTTACGCTAGTATGAACGTGTGTGTTTACACTCTGACCTGATTTCTACGGTGCGACGGTACTATTGCATTACTACAACGTGATAGATGTCTCGCGCTACCGCGAGAAAATACGAGAGATGGCAACGGTAAACAAAAACAGAACGCAAAATTTCATTGGATTTGGTGAATACGAAGGTTCTAAGACATGTTATCGTTACTTTAGAAAATTGCTGTTTACTCAAGCAATAACGGTAGGTATCATGAAAATGGGGAAAACACTGAAAAATTCTCGCAATACATGCTTTAACAAAGTTACATGAGAATAAAATATAATTTAAACTAGACCTATAGTTGCTGCGAGATGGCGCGTGCAAGTGTAATCAATAATTAAAGATGGCATCGCCCTTCTTGAGATACCCTAACTAGCTCCCTGGGGAGTTGCTGAAATCCTACAGGCTAATATCCAAGTATATTCATGCAGACAATAATTTCGCTCAGCTGTGAGTTAACACATGTGCATTGCAAGTTGGCAGGCAACAATTATGATTAGAAGAGTGCCAGCCATGGGCTGCCCTGTGTTTTTGCCTACCCACGCGAGCATTAACTGATTCAGCCTTCAAGGTGCTATAGTCTGACTTCTTTACAAAATAATATGATTTAAAGGCTCACAATGCACATCCAAACACTAATTTCTACAGTACTAGACTAGCAAATACTTCGTGGCATGAATGATCACACTACCTTATGACAAAATAAACTCTAGTTCCTCCCATTTCACTGCGCGTTGTCTTATAAAAGGTATTTGAAAATACCTCCACTGTTGTTCAAATTCTCCGATGTTGTTGACACGTTTGCGTTGCTCTGCCAGCTAGGCAACCGTCCAGCGGGTGTAGC